TTTCCCGCTCACTACGAGAAGCCCCCGCACCGCACCGTGGCTGGCCTCGCGCCGCCCTCGCCGCCACCGCCGCCGCACGCCCGCAGACTCTGCCAGAGAGACAGCGGCGCTGGCTGCTGCGCCGGGGGAGGCCTCGCCCCGCCCCCGCCATAGTCGCGGCCGTCAACGATCGAGTAGCCGCGGCCGAATGCGTCGTCGTACCGCCTGTATGACGCTCTCCTGAGCGCCCGTCGCTCATCGCGCGCGAGCTGCTCCACACCCTTCTCGCGCATCGCCACCTCGAGCTTGCGGGTCTTGCTCCCCTTATCTGCCGCCTGCTGCGCCGAAGCCTCGCGCGCCTCGCACAGCGCCGCATCTTTGACCGCGTGAGAGGTGATGTCGTACGCCACGCCCTCGCTCTTTTGGAGCGAGGGCGGCAGCCGCCGGTACGACTTGTGCGGCTGCTCGGCCAGCGCCGCCGCCTCCCTCTCCCTCAGCCGCGCCTCCTTGTGCGGGTTGTAGAATTCGCACTTGAGAGGGTCGTAATCGTGCGTCTCCCAAAAGCTGTGCGCCGCTCGCCGCCGCTCCCTCGCCTTGTCCGCTGCAGTCCGCTCCTCGTGGCCCCGCACGTACCGGCCGGAGAGGAGATCGTGCTCCCGGGGCCGGCTCGTCGCCGTCTGAAGCTTTGGCTTTGGCTCGCCAACGAGCTCCGCATCAGTGGGCCGTGCGGCGGGCGGGAGGTACGAGTGGTGTGCGACTGAGACGCCAGAGAGGATGTTGTACGGAAGCTCCCGCCTCGCGGCGCTGGTTGGCTGGAGCGCGTCGCTGCCGGCGGTCGAGGTGGCTGTGCTGGAGGTGCTGCTAAGGCCAGGGTGCTTGCTGCGCAATGTGAGCAGGTCGAACTCCGACTCGAGCGAGGTCTGCCGGTCGCGCGCGCGGTTGAGGTGACGGGTCACCATGGTGACCTCTTGTTCCCGCACCGAGGCCTCGCTCCCGTCCGTGAATGTCTGCAGCAGCGGGTTGTACCGGGCCTGCTCTGCGTGCTTGGAGGCGTGCGTGACGCGTGCCCGACCCTGCTCGTAAGCCTCCAGAGGGGGCTGCGCCTTCCGACCCGCCTCGTACTCCTTCAGCATGGCGCCCCACGCGGGCACGTCCGGCTGAATCATCGGGCCCGCGGGCATGCGGCTCGGGAGCTCGGCCGACTCGTCGAGGAGAGATGTAACCGGCAAGTATCTAGATACGCAAAAATCGCTCTCGCTTAGGCGAGAGGGCGACAGGGGTTCGACAGGACAGGGCCTCCGACGCTGGGGACAGAACCACACCAGTATCAGACCAGAGGGACTGCCCCCCTCCCCCACCTGCCCTGCTTACACACAGGATAGCATGCCCCGAGAGCGGCGACATTTGGCAGGGGTAACCTGGGAAGGAGAGAAGAGAAACACCCCCGGGATATGGACCGGGACACGCTGTGCCTGTGGTTCAGACGTCCCCCCCCTCGACGCAGTCGAGTGACGCACATGAATAGGGAGGAGAAAGTGTCCCCCCCCATATCACCACAGACGCAGCACAGGGGCTCCAATCCTGTCCCCCTGGGGGCATGTTCGCGTCGGCGCTGAGGCGCTGCTCGACGCCGCTGGCCTCTTCCGCCGCTACCACGTGCAAGCCCCGCAGAGGGGCGGGCGAGAGGGCGGCCCGAGCCCGAAAGGGCCCGCCCTCGGTCATCTTGCTCTACATGGTAACGGATAAGAAGAGAAACACCCCCGGGATATGGACCGGGACACGCTGTGGTTCAGACGGGACGCGTCTGACCAGAATCCTTCTGGTTTATACCAGCCCACTACTTCTCTTCCACCTGGTGGTGCGATGGGCTCCCTCCCGCGTGCTAGTCCTCCCGCATGCGCAGAGCTAGATTGCTCACAGCCCTCTCCCCCCCCGTTGCCGCAGCTTCCGCGTCTGGAAGATGTCGCACCGGGGCTTTCGCCGGCTTACGGATATTCTCGAGCCGGACGACGAGGAATCATGGGCCTCGGAGCCCGTGCGCCAGCGGAACGGTCCGGGTTAGCCCCTTCCCCATGGATCCTCAGCCCAACATTCCAGTCTCATTTCGGAAAACTCAGCCCGCAGGTAAGGGGCAAACCGCGCGGGACCCCAACGATGCTACGCTTCGCGAATTTAGCGACGAGATGGTGCGCCCAGCCCCGAAATCCAGCTTGCGCGTGCAGTACCTTTGGCGAGGCGAACCCGACGCTGCAAAAGGAACTTCCGCCTCTCCCCAGGCGCAGCTTCGAACGCAGCTGTCAAGCTCTCATCCGGGCGGCAACGGCGGCGATAGCGATGGCGGTGGCGACTGCGGTGCCTCAACGGATCCCGCTGCCCTGAACGCCGTCGAGGCTCCCAGCACGCAACGCGCAGCTCCGTAGCCCTTCTCGCCCGACACACTCGAGGTAGCGCTGATTGCTGTGGAACGCAGTGGCGCGGTGCGTCTGCCGCCGCCGGACGTGCGTGTATAGGATAGGGGCAACGGCAGACAAACTGATGGACGGGAGGGAACCGAGAGAGGACCACCGCGGCCCGTCTTGCAGAAAGAGCGCTGTAGAGCGAGTCGGCCAGGCATGGAGGCTGCTGCCGCTGCTCTACCACCTCTCACTCAGTATACTCGAGTACGGCACTTCGCGTTCGCTTTTCATCATCTCTGAATCACGAAAGAAAGGAAAGAGCCTACATACGCATGTATGTATGTAGTAAGGTGAAGAACAGCCAGGCTCGGTCCTCGGACTGGACACCAACGCGGTATGGGTGGACGCTGGACAGATGATGACGGCACGCACGAGCGACACACAGACACAAACAGGCTCACAAGACACACAGCCAGCTGGCTGCCACACACCCTCCCTGAGTTGGCGTACACATACGCATAGGGGTGCTGCTGCTAAGAGAGAAAAGAAAGAGAGAAACCGGCAATCCGAAGCGAGTGTGTTTGCGGAACAAGGGACACGGGTCCAGAGCCAAGCCTCGCTCTTTGTACATGCTTCTCCACCTCCTCACCGTGGCCTTCACTGCGCAAGACGGCCCTCCAAACGACTGTTTCTCCTGGTGCCTCCCGTCTCTCCTCGGGCCGACCGCGTCCGCCATCCCGGGCGTGGCGCCGCCGGCGAGTGATGAAGCAGCAAAGCGCATCCTCGGCGCGTCAGCAAAGAGCATAGGCGACGTCGGAGAGTACCTCGACTGCGTGCGCATCACAAACGGCACGCACGAGCCTATCGCTGCCTATGCGCTGGCGCGCTTCTCGCTGCCGCTCGGCGGGGCCACCGCGTCGCCGACCGCCGGCGCCTCCCAGCATTATGGCTGCTGCGTGCCAAAGGCGTGCGGCGCACAAGAGCTCGAGCGAGGCTTTCGGGTCACTCTGCCGAGTAAGCTCAAATCCGCCACCGAGACGGCCGCCAAGACCGGGGCCGCATTGGACGCCATCGCCGCAGCGATCGACGGCCTCCCGCGCAACAGCAGCTTTTCGGCGGCGGCGGCGGCGCTGCGGCGCGACGCGGCCACAGCGAACCAGTCGCACATGCCGCGGGCTGCCGCGGCGCTCTCCGCTGCCGCACAGGGCGCGGAGCAAGCCGCGCATGCGGACACGGCGCTCCGGGCCGCGGCGGCGGCAGCCGCGGCGCAAAACAAGACGGCAGCGGCGGCGGCGCTAAGGGCTGCCGACGAGCTCCTGCGTCGCGGTCCTGGCGGCGGGTGGATGAACGCCTTGGAAAAGGAGAGGGAGAAGCTGGAGGCCCAGGCGGCGGCTCTCAACGCGTCAGCCGCCGCGCTCGCCGCCCTCTCCTCGGCCGTGAGTGCGATGCAGTTTGACGTTACGGTTGGCTCTCAGAGGGCGGGCCTGGGAGGGGCGGGGTGGGCGTGGGTGGTGCTCGCTGGAGCGCTCCTCACCCTCGCCGCTGCCGGGACCGCGGTCGACGTCGCGGCTCAGCGGTACCCGCCTGGCGGAGGGAAGCCGCCCTCCCCCTCCGGCGCAGAAGCGCACACGCGACCGCTCTGCGCCGCCTCGTGCGCACCGAGCGCGCCTCTCGCTCCGACGGCGGTTGAGCCGCTGCGAGCCCCTCCCCCGCCCGGCGGCGAGAATGGCGGCGGCGGCGCGTCGCTGCTCCCCGCGGACGATGCCGAGGGCGGCGCCGACCTCTCCAACTCCTCCTCGCGCTCCTCCTCCCCCGCGCAGCGGATGGGCGCCTGCAACATTGGGCCGCGAGGGTCTGGCGCCTTCGACTTCAGAGACGACTCGGCGCCCTCCGCCCGCCCTCCGGCGCGGCAGGGCTCGGGCGGGGCAGCCTCCGGGGGAAGGCGGGGCGAGGAGCCGCTCGGCGTCGCCTTGCTCCGCTGCTTCTCCCTCGTCCGCAACTGGAGGTCCAGAGAAGAGCCAGAGATCACCAGAGATCACCAGAGATCACCTGAGATCACCCGAGATCACCCGAGATCACGTAACCATAGACCACCCGAGAGGAGACCGCCCGACGTCACCCCGAGCTCGCCGAGGCAGGTCGCTCGGCTCGCTGCGCGCCGACGGCACGATGGGCTGCCTCGACGGGATGCGATGCTTCTCGATGGCGTGGGTCATCTTCGGCCACACGATCGTCTACGCGATGGGCGCCTTGCGGTCTCCAGCTCGACGCGGAGCTGTGAACCGCGTCTCCTCACGCGTCCAGCTGTGAATAGGCGCGGGCGGTCTCCAGTTCGACGCGGAGCTGCTGCCGCCCGGCTGGGCAGACAAGCTGCCACCGTCGACGCTCGCTTCCTTCTCGCTGCCGCCAGAGGGGGGACGGCTCGCCACGGCCGCCTGCCAGCCCGCGCTTGCCGCCCCCCCCCTCGGCCCTTGCCTGACCCCTGCCGGAGCGTGCCCACAGGTCAGCTATCAGCTCGTCCCCGCCGCCTTCTTCGCGGTCGACACCTTCTTCTGGCTTTCTGGCCTGCTCACCACGCACGCCCTCCTCCCCTCCGTCCGCAAGGCCGCCTCGGCCGGCAAGGCGTGGTGGAGCGCCTACCCGATGTACGCACTCGGCCGCTGGATGCGCCTCTCTCCGCTGGTCGGCGTGCTGCTCCTCACGACGGTGGGGCTGCACTGCCCGCGCTCGGGGACATGTCTAGGACACGCCCACGACATGTCCGAGACACGCCCCGTAGGTCGGGCTGCTGCCCGCGCTCGGGGACGGGCCCATGTGGAGCTTGGGCGGCGCCGAGGGGGACGCTTGCAGGGCGGGCGGCTGGTGGCTCAACCTGCTCTACGTGCAGAACCTCTTCGCGCTCGCCGCGCCCGACTCGGCCCTCTGGCGGTGCGAGGGCCACCTCTGGTACCTCGCCAACGACATGCAGTTCTTCCTCGCCGCGCCCCTCTTCGCGTACCCCCTCGTCACCCGCCCGGCCGCCGGCTGGGCGCTGCTCGCCACCGCTTTGACCGCCTCCACCGCCGCCAACGCGGTCATCGCCGCCGTCAACGGCTACGCCGCTTCGCCTCTCTTTGACCAGACCTACTTTACGAACGTGTACATCCAGCCGTGGACGCGCGCCCAGCCCTTCCTCGTCGGCGCCGCCTTCGCCGCCTTTTGGGACCGGCTTCAGGGCGGCGCCGCCCCCCTCGCGCGGCGGCACTCGCCCGCCAGCGCCGCGTCGCACGCCCGCCGAGCCGATCCGGCGTGGCTGGTGTGGGGGCTCGCCGCCGGCGCGGCGGCGGTGATGCTCGCCCTCTCCTTCGGCACGCTCGGCCTCTACTCGGCGCTCCCCTCCCCGTGGAGCGAGGCGCAGAACGTGTCGTACATCGCCCTCTCTCGGCTCGGCTGGCCAGTCGGCCTCTCCGCCGTCGCCTACCTCTGCTTCTCGGGCCAGGCGCCGCTCGTCAACGGCCTCCTCTCCTGGTGGCCGCTGCAGGTCTTCGGCAAGCTCACCTTCGCCGCCTACATTGTCCACCCCGTCGTCATGTACGGCGTCAACTACTCGACCACCGCGCCGATCGAGTTCTCGGACATCTGGTTCGCAAAGTCTTTCACGAGCTTCCTCGCCTGGGCCTCGCTGCTCGCCCTCCTCCTCTGGCTGCTCGCCGAGAAGCCAGCCGCCAACCTGCTCGCGCTCGCACTCGGACGGCTCGGCCTCAAGGGCTGAGGAGAGGGCGGCGCGCGGGAGCAGGCGAAGCTCTCCTGTCTGTCCGTGTTGATTACGAGATGTGTGAGACCACCGTACGTATGAAGGGGAGAGGGGGGGGGCGCGCGAATGGAAGCTCGAGATGTAGCTCTTGTCGGGAGACGATGTGGTGTGTGGCTGTGGGGGTTTGTGTGCGGCCTCCTCTCGCGCTGCCGCTCCGCGGGCCACCCCCCCTCTCTAGCTCTAGGCGCGGGTAGAAAGGCGCGCCCCGTAAAGCCGTACCGCGCGTACGTGCCCGCAAGCTGAGATGCCTGTCGATCTCGAACCTGTACTAGTCTTGTGGTCTCGCGTCTCACACTTCATTCGTCACACGGAAAGTCAAAAGGACAAAATCCCATCTGGATCTGCATCGGCCATCGCTTACGCTTTTTTCTCCTCCCTCCATATAAACCCTCGACGATCGACGTGTACATGCACATGCCTATTCTTCAACAGCCTGGACGGGGCCCTCCGTCTCATACTCAGCCTCCCCCGCGGCCGCCTCAGCGTTACTCCTCGCACGCGCAAGCCGATCTTGGACGGTCGTCTCCGCCATCAAGTTGGAGGCAGACGCGCTGGCCCTCCTCGCCCGAGCGACGCGCGTGGCCACGAGAATCGCGGTCTCCGCCGCCTGCTCTTCAGTCTGGTCCGCACCCGTTACTGTCTCAGCCTTGCCTGTCTCCTCCGGCGCGCCCACGTTGTCGGCAAACTTGACAGCCGTTTTCTCCGGGAGAGGCGTCACCTCTGTCGCGGCTGCATCCGGGGCAGCCCCGACGGCGGCGGGTTCACCCTCATCATCAGCCGGGACAGGCAGCCACGCCACGGATCCGCGTGTCATGCGCGTCATGCGAGGCATTGCTGGGAGATCGCCCATCACCGACGGCCGCACAAACGGCACCGCCTCGAGCGCCATCTGTGCCTCGGCTTCGGCCCGCTTTCGACGAATCATCTCGGCGTGCGCAGCCGATAGATCGCGGCCTGCCTCTGCAACGATGCAGTCATACTCCTCGATTGCAGCGCGCAGATTCTCCTCCCCACCAATTTTGAGGGTCATGTTTGCGGCAGAGATGCGCAGCGTCCCTCGTCCGGTGAGCGCGAATGCAGCAGCGTATGCGATGCGTGCCAGAGCATAGTCGCCTCCATCATTCGCTCCCGCGCCGAGCGAGGTGAGCTGCTTTGTCACTTTGTCTGCCAGCTTCTTTTGCCCACCGCAGGTCCGCCACCACTTCTGCTGCGTCCGCGCGGTGGTCGGTGCAGAGGCTGTGGTGGTGCCGGCGGCCAGAGCGGCGCGAGCCTCACCTCGTTTGCGCTCGACCAGTTGCCGCACGGTCGTGCTCATGGATCCGGGGTGTTTATCTTCGTGGGCCAAGAGCACCTCGTACTCGGCACACGCCCTCCGCGCTTCCCCGAGCTTGAAGAGCATGTTGGCCGCGGAGATGTGAGCGGTCAGCGTCCCGCCCCAGGTGGCTGAGAGCAGGAAGAGGGCTGCTGCGCTCATGGTGGCGCCCTGCTGGTTGGCGAGCGTGGCTAGGGTGTGCAACGAGGCAAGGTCCAGCTCGCCCTGCTCGGGCTCGACGGTGTTGACCCGTTCAGTGTCCATTACCAGGCAGTGGCCGACGTCGGACTGGCGAACTAGGAGGGACGTCCGACTGAAGAAAAGTTCGCACCCCGATTGCAGAAGGACATCGATTCCTTCGGGGCACGGGGGGCATTCAGCACAGCGTAACCACTCTTCTCCTTCCACTCCCGCGCCTCTCGCGGCGCGAAAGGCGGCCGAGAGAGGTGCGAGATATCGACGTCCAGGCTGCCCACGCGTCGCGAGGGGGGGCTCGTCCGGCACGTCCGTCGTCGGCGTTATCGTTTTTTTACGGTACATCCACAGATCTTTTACATAACATTAACGGATAATCTGTGGGTCCCGCATCAACCATCATTGAACGCGGGCTCAATCCACAATCGCTCAAAACTCAAAAGACAAAATTTCTCCGTTTCTGCGTGACTGTGGTGTGTATGATGCCTATGATGCGCACACGCCCCCTCCGTGAGCTCACATCGACTTGGGTGCGGGGGGCCGGGGCGCGGGGGGATCGGGGGATGCCCCCACACGGCGTCACGGCCCCAGCTGGCCAGCGGCCCACCTCCCAGCTGACGTCAGCTGTGGAGTCTGGCGAGAGGCGCGCGAGTCCTCGGGCGGAAAAGTGCTGACCGCCACGGAAGGCCGCGAGAAGCGGGAGCGCCGACCGCCGTGAGCCGTGTGGGCGGCGCTAGCCGGTTAGCGGCGGCCGCGCCGGCCGGCGCGCCCGCGCCGCGCGGGGAGAGAGAAGGGGCGCGGAGGAATAGATAGGGAACTCTCGCGAGGAGTACGGCTATGATTTTCGCATGAGACGGTCTCGCTCGAAACCAATGACGCAATGTCCATCAAGCTCTTTTTCTTCGTGTGTTAACGTCGTGTGTGGCGCGACGCGCGCCGCGTGGGTTCGGCTCAGGCGAGGCTTCGCGAGGCCATCGTCGACACGTCGAGGGTGTGACGTCCCTCGAGAGCGTCGCCGTTGGCCCTCAAGCTCAAACGCCTCGTGGAGCAGTCCCTGCGGGCGGGGAGGGCGCTGAGGTGAGAAGGGCTGCTGTCTGCGGCCCGAGGGCGTGGGGACGGTCTGCAGGGAGGCGCTGCGTCCGATAGGAGCGAAAGAGCTTTGGAAAGACTCCACGGTTAGTATTGTCGTACGGAGGGGGTCGTCATGCGCAGGCCTGGCTGCTGGGAGCTGCTTTGGGAAAGAGTGGTCGCGCGATGGCTCCGCACCGGGTGTGAGCCGGCCTCGTGGATCGACGGCCGCCGAGAGCGCAGCGCGTCTCCGCGTCGTCCTGCGTGGGGGGGAGAGGTGTCACCGAGTCGCGAGTTGCATCTCGGCGCCTCGTGGTGGAGTGGCGGAGGAATGCCGGGCGGTTATGACTCGTATGCGTCCAATGGAGGCGGCAGGGCCGCCCCGACTGGCCGGGCGCCGCAAGCGGGCCTCGGCATCCGCGGCTGGACGGCAATCTTAAGGACCGCGCGCACACCCCGCCCGCGCGCGACAGGACGCCGCGATGGAGCGGCGGGGCTGCTGATCTTCCAAGGTGTCTGGACCACGCGACCGGCGAGAGCGGACGCGAGGTAATTCGTCCTTGGTAGGGTGCGAGGCGTGGGGCGGGGGCTGCGCGAGGTTTCTTGAGAGGGCGGGAAGGAGGCACCTTTAGGCTCTCACGACGTTACGCCGGTTGGTCAGCCGCGGCGCGAGAGCGACATGCGCGAGAGCGGCGGCGAGAGTGGCGAGAGCGGCGACGTAATGTGCTTATGACAGTAGCACGAGGGAGGGTGTGGGCGGGCCGCACCCAGGGCTCACCGGGGCCCGGCCATCCCCGCCCCCTCCCTCACCTGCCCCACCCCGGGGCCTCACTCGCGATGCGCCGTCCCGGGGGGGTAGCTCGCTGCCCGACCCCAGGGCACCCCACACACGGCGCTTACGGGCGGGCCACGCGCACGCGGCCCCGTACGCCTACCGCGCGCCCCCGGCCCACCAGCGCCACGCCCCGAGGCGAGGGAGAGCGGCCCGTGCGGCACCACCGCTCACACAGAACAACACAAACTACAAATCAACTAAACGGGTGACCCCACTCTACTCTGCACAGACAGTCCGCACTGCTCCAAACGCACATCTCTACCATCTACCGATGCGGACGCAAAAAGCGCGCCTCGGCGAGACGGATCGCGTCACTTTGCCTGGGCCTGCTGGAATCGCCGCACGCCAGCGCTGCGTGATGATCTGGTCCCAGTTGTCCATAGGCTCGGTTGTGTCGTCTGTGTATCTAGATCCGGGTGTGTTTCGCGCCTAAGTTGACCACAAATCCCGCCTAAAAAATTGAAAAAGCAAACCCACGCTCCGTACGAAAGTACGAAAGAGCTGAATGGGCGGGTCGGATGCCGGGGGGCGGGGTGGGGGGGCCCAGGGGGGGGGGGGGGCACCCGGGGCGCCTCACTCTGAGGAGCTCCGCCCCGCCCCTGCCCCTCACTGCCCCGGGGGTGGGGCCTCACCCGCAGCCGGCGCGTCCCGGGGTGGGGTCTCGGGGTGAGTCCCGGGTGAGGCCCGCCCCCCCCCCTCCCTCGGGCTACTGTGAGAAAGAAAGAAAGAAAACAGACAACCCAAGGGAGGGATGGGAGGACGGCACGCCGCCACCACACAGGGATTTTAAGGAGAGGTGTGTGGTGCGCTATCCGTCGCCCACCCTAGGGAGTCTGCCTCTTCCTATCTCTCTTCGCAGTCTCTCGCTGATTCTCGCGGGCTACTGTGAAAAGAAAGAAAGAAAACAGACAACCCAAGGGAGGGATGGGAGAGGGCTACTGTGATAAGCACATAATGGGGAAGAGGGATTTTCTTTTTCTATTTCCTCCGACGAAGTGGCTCTCGTGGAGAGCGCAAGAAGGGAGCCCGGGCCAGAGGCGCAGAAAAAAACCATTGCGCCGCGCGCCAACCTCGAGAGCAGTCCCGCCGCCAAGCCTGCCACGAGCGCCGGCCCATCTCACCTCCATGAAGAGGCGCGCTGCCGCGTCGCCTCGCCCGCCCGCCAAGCGCAGCGCGACCTCGCCCGCCAGCACGGTCCGGACGCACAGCCTTCTCCCGATCATCAGCCTCACGGTGCCGCCGGAGGTGCTCATACTCGGCACGCATCCGAGCCGCAAGTCCCTCGCCGAGAGCCTGAGCGAGAAGGAGGTCCGGATGCGTGGCGGAGCGGGTCCGCAGAACTACGGTCACAGCCAAAACATCTTCTGGAACGTCGCCGGCTCGGCGTGCGGCTTCAGCCGGCACGCAGTGAGCTACGAGAAGCAGTGCGAGGCCTTCACGGCGCGCGGCTGCGTGCTTTGGGACGTGGTGCGAAGCTGTTTGGGTAAGGGGAGCCTCGACAGCGACATCGACAAGTCTACGATGGAGGCCAACGACATCCCCGGCCTCCTCTCCCAGCACCCGACGATCCGCCGAATCTGCATCGCCAAGACTGCAGCCGCCTTCCTGTGCCACTCCAATGGCCACGCTGCGTGGCTCAAGACAGGCGAGGCAGCCGGGCGGAGATGGGACTTTGTCCTCCGCACCGCCAGCCCCGCCACTGCCGAGACCGCCTCCGTGCTGGGAAAGTACTGCCGGCGGGCCACCGGCTCGGAGATCGAGGCGGCCGTGCAGAAAGAGAGGGCAGCCGGAGACGGCGCGTTGCAGCGGACCGTCGAGCTCGTGGTGCTGCCTTCGACGAGCCCTGCAAACGCGGCGATGTCGCCCGACGCAAAGGAAAAGGTGTGGCACAGAGCTGCGTATGGCTATGAGCGGGCGCCCGCCGCGTACCGCTGCGTCGGCTGCGGCGCCGTCGGCGAGCACTGGTTCGTCGACTGCGACCGGAACGAGGAGTGGCGGCGCCAGCAGATGGAGAAGAAGACGCGCGGCGACCTGTTTGTCGAGGAGGTCGACGGCGACCGATGGCTGTACTCGAAACCAAAGGCGTGAAAACGTAGTTGGTGGGGCGAGGCGAGAAAAATTAACTTTAAGAGCTGCTCTCCAGCGGTGGATCTCGTCGCATTAGTAAGGTAAGGTAAAAGGTAAACGTCTCCACACACAAAAAGTGGTGGGGCAAGGGGGGGCGACCCTCGCATCTCCACGCCCGGGACACGGGCAGGAGCCCCACGGCATTCAAAGTGCAAGCACCGGCCCGGTGCCGTGGGTGAGCAACCTGCACCCCACTCCCTCCCTCCATCGCATTAGAGATTAGTGTCAATGTGTCATGTGTGAAGTAGGCTCCCGGCACATCGACATCTAAGAGAGTTTTTCTGTGTACCGCGCCGTATCTGGGAGATTATATACAGTGTAAGTCGTAAGTGTGTCAGTGTGAAGAGTGCCCAGTGTCAGAGTGGCTTACCAGCAATTCGCCCATCCGTGCGTCCAGGCGCCGCGTGTGCTCTGGCAGGCGGCTCTCGTCGCACGCGAGCACCGCCTCCGCGACGGATCGCCCGAGCACCGCGTGGTGGATCAGGCCGCGCGAGCCGAGCCCGCCAAACAGCCAGGCGGCGCAGCCACCGCCTCCGAGCGCGCTCCTGCCGCCGCCGTCCCCTCGCCTCGCACCTCGCACCTCGACCGGCAGCTTGCAGACGAGAGGCACGTACCCGAAGTGCGAGCGGGGAGGGAGGGCGCGGACTCCGGCGTCGCACCTGTACACTCAGCAGAGGAGGGTGTCAGCACTCTACAGGGCAACGCTGCAGTGCGGGCTGGCTGGCCCGGCACCGCACGATCGGCGCGTCTCGGATCGAGGGCAGCATCTCCTGCTGGTGCGAGGCGAGGCCGGGACGTTAGCACAAGCCTCGCCACACCAACTCCCTTCCTCTCCGCCCCTCTCCTCCAGTGGCGCCAGCAGCGCCGCCGCCGCCTCGGCCTCGCTCGGAGGCTCGCGGAGCCCTTCCGGGTCGTACTCGAAGGTTGCGCCGCAGAGCAGCAGGTCGCCCCCCTCCCCCGCCGGCACGATGTACTTCCCGCAGATAAGCGGCGTCTCCAACCCGGCTCGGTTCTCGAGGTGCAAGTTCTGGCCGCGGCACGGCCGGAGCGGCAAGCCAGACAGCTCGGCGAGGTCGGAGGCGCGGGAGCCGAGGCAGACCACCACAGCGTCGTACGGCGCCTAGGGCCAGGCTCCGAGAGCTCTCGGTGGCCCGCCTGCCGCAAGAGCGCCACCACGCCGCTTCACGGCTCCTCCCCTCGCTCGCTCGCAGCCGCCGCCACCGCCGCCAGAGAAGGGAGGGCGCTGCACCGCCACTCGAGCCCGCTTCCTCGCTCGCGGGCGATGCGGCCGCACAGGGCCCACAGCGCACGCAGGTAGGCCGGAGTGTCGACGCGCAGCGCCGACGGCGCGTGTGCGACTCCCTCCACCCCGGCGCCCACCGTAGCTCCGGCGATGGCGCTCGCGTCGGAAGCAGAGAGCCAGCGCTGCTCGAGCGCGGCGCTGGGCGCAGCAGCAGCGGCGCCGCCAGCGCGACTGGCGCGCTCGAGCTCGCTCGCCAGGTCGTGATCGAGAGCGAGGCGCAGCAAGCCGCTGGCCTCAGAGACGCGCTCGGAGCTGACTGCCTCGCACCGCTGAAGCAGCGCAGACGTCGCAGCGAAGCCCTCCTGTCCCATCCATATCTCGCGACCCTTTGGCGTGAAGGGATGGAGCAGACCGGCAGCAACCGCAGAGGCACCGCCAAGGCCCGGTCCGACCTCCGCGTCGTACACGTGCACCTCATCAGCTCCGCCATCGAGCAGAGGCACCGCCGTCCCGAGCCCGGCGAGGCCACCGCCGAGGACAGCGACGCGCATGGCGACCGCTGCCGGCAGCAGCAGCAGCCAGCCTCCACGCATCCTCATCAACGATTGGCTCGCTGGCGAAGCAGGGCGAGACTAAAAAGAATTTTGGCGACCGCGCTCGATTACTCACTCATCAGCGTCAGCGCGGTCGAAGTAGCACGAGCAGGCGCGCCGGATCCACCGCATGGCTCGCCTCCCCCATCTCGCGCGCCTCGCCGCCGGCAGCGGTCGAGTCCGCGCTCCACTGCAGCACGTGCAGCTCCTGCGGCGGTGCAGGGGCGGGCGGGGTCGGCATGAATCGCGCTCAATGTGAACTGGGAGAGGAGGCTGCTGTGCTAGCAGCGCCTGATCGAGGAAGAGCTGCGCCAAATAGAGCGTCGGCACGTCCGCCTCCCAGCGCGCCTCCGACACCGCCCGGAACGACAGGCCGGTGGCCGCAGCGACCGCATCAACGAGCGCCTCTCCCTCTGCGCAGCTCTCTCCGGCAGCCTCGAGCGCTAGAGGCTCGCATCGCAGCTCGAGCTCGTCGCAGCAGGTCGCGGACAGGCTGCCTCGCAGGCTGAGAGAGAGCTCGTCCTCCGACCCCACCGCGGAACGGACGGCTGCGGAGAGATGCAGAGAGTCGGGAGTCACCTCCACCTCGGCAGCGCCAGACTGCACCACGCCGCCGCCGGGCGGTGTGAGAGAGGCGGACTCGAGCGAGAAGGTGCCGGACCACAGGTCATAGTCCACCGACGGGTCGGGCCGTGTCGGGTTGACCGAGGAAAGCGCCGTCACCAGGGCAGCAGCATCTGCCGAGAGCACGCCCGCCTCGGCTGCCAGAGCGGCCCGCAGCGCTGCCTTGGCCGATCTGAACCAGGCCACGTCGACAGCAATCTCGCTGGCGCGCGGCGAGGTGGCGCGGCGAGGTGCAGCAAAGCCGGTGGCTAGCGTCAACGTTAGGATCATGGCTACACGAAGAACGCAATCGAACGCCTATTTCCGGCTCCTAGCCGGATAGGGGGTCTGTTGGCACTGACTCGCGCCAAAACGCCCTACCTACTCGAGTACCTTACCCCAGGCAGAGCGAAGCGAAAAAAGAAAAAGAAATTTGCAGCGCCCTTTTGGGCGAAACAAGACCAACCTACCTACCTATCTGGGAGGGGCCAGCCAGTGGCTACAGACCCCCTATCCGGCTAGGAGCCGGAACCCAGCAGCTGTGCAGCTCAAACGAAAAAAAACGGGGCGAATATGCGGGTGGCACTCCCATCCCTCCCTTGCGCCTTGGCGCTTGGGTTGCACGTTTTCTTTCTTTCTTTCTTTCTTTACTCCTGATTTACTCCCCCTCAGGGCGCCCTCCGCAGCGGCGCTGCCTTCCTGCCACGAGAGAGGAGATTGCGCACACAGCCGCAGCGAGAGGCACTGAGATCATCTCTCTCTGAGATAATCTCTCTCTGAGTCAGAGTACAGAGAGATCAGTCACCAGAGTTGGTTCAGAGTCAGAGAGCAGCCTTAGGGTGCAGCAAGACCCGAGCGCGCCCGGGCTCCACCTCTCTCGCCGCGAGCGATTATTAATAATTGGCGGTGCTTTCTTTACTTGCTTGCGGACTTTGCGGAGATCAGCAGGAGGATGTACGAAGAGGTTAGGAGCGGCAGGGACCCGAGGGACCATGTGGAAGACGGCTAGTGCTAGTCGTGTAGTCCCCCATCGAGGGATGAGGGAGGACGACCCCGGCTAGCCGCCGACCACACCCACACGAAAGAACCCTGCACAAAGATCGCAAGGGGAAGGCCCTTCAAGGGCGGGGACCTGTTCCTTTTTACCCACCTCACAGTAGAGAGGTGTCCGTTTTTATTTATTTATTTATTTATTTCTTGCTTGCGTTCTGTCCTTGCTTGTTTGTCAGGGTGGGCGTGCAGCGTGCAGCGTGCAGGTTGTGCTTGTGGTTGAGTTACCGACCGCACTCCACAAGTGTGTGCCACCCACATGCCCGTCTGCCATGATCGTGCATGGACGGCTGAATACCCCGGTGAGCTCACAGCTCACCCGATGCCTCCCTCGCTACCCCGACGGCCATCACCTCTGCCCTGCCGCCACCTCGCCGCCTGCTCCGCCTGCGCCGCCGCTCGCGCCGCCGCGGCCCGACAGCCCCGACCTCCGGACGTAGTCCACGCCGTTCCAGCCGATGTCGGCTCCGAGGCCGGCTCGGAGCTTGCGGTAAAAGGCGTGGAACTGGAACGTGTCGCCCGAGTGGCGCGAGACGTCGATGCGGTGGCCGCAGCGCCCCTCCGCCTGCTCCGCCGCGTCCGCCTCCGAGATGAAGATGACGGCCTGCATCTGAGCGCTGCCCATCGCGGCGAAGTTGCAGGGGAGTGTCTTGATGGAGAGCGGGTTGGTGGCGACGCCCGGGACCTCGAAGGGGACGCCGAGCGCGGAGAGCACCTTGCCCACCCGCTCCACGGACCCCTCGAGCCCCCCCTCCGCCGGCATCTCCCAGCCGAGTCGGCGGACGGGCACGCAGCTGCGGGCCGCCGCGGGGGCGCGCGTGTCCGCCCTCGCCCACAGCGAGGCGACGTCGGGAGACACCTTGCGCGGCAGCTCCGAATCGGGCGAGTAGAGCACCGCCAGCGGCCGCTGCGAGCCGCACTGCCCTTTTTGGGAGCGCGCCCGGAAGGGAGGCGAGTTCGGGTGCAGCGCCAGCGACTGGAGCGAGGTGCGCGCCACGCCGTGCGGGCCGACGACGGGAGAGGGAGGGGGGGGCGCGTCGCCCGTGCGGAGGCGCTGCGGCCCCGGGGCGATGAAGCCGTTCTGCGCCGCCGCCGCGTGCCCTCCCTCCCTCCCCGCCGCCGTCGCCGTCGCCGGCTCCGCCTCCGCCCTCTCTACCGCTCCTCCTGCTTCCCCTGCTGCGCCTGCTGCGCCTGCCGCCCCCGCCACCCCTGCTGCCCGTTCCGTGCTCGCCGCCGGCCCCGCGCCCACCCCGCCGCTCGACGCTCCTCCGCAGCGAGGGCCTTCACGGCCCGCCGCCACGCCGAGGCCCGAGCAGAGGGTCAGCGCCGCGGCGCCCGCGTCTTTGGCGCGCTTGAGGGTCTTCCTGTGCTTGCCGTTGCCGTTGCCGTTGCCGTTGCCGGACAGGTTGACGGGCCGAAGCAGCTGCAGCTGCCACGTCATCACCTCGGCGCGGGCCTCGTGCACCGTCATTCGAGCCTCGGGAGGCAGCGCTATCATGCCGCACAGCAGCGAGATGACGGGGGAGGTGAAGTGCGCCGGGCAGCTGAGGCGGGAGGAGGCGACGAAGCTCTCCCAGAAGGGACAGGCGACCGATTTCGAAGCGAACGGCGGGTAGCCCGTCAGCAGCACGTAGAGGAAGACGCCGAGGTTCCAGGTGTATGCCGACTGCACCTCCCGCAGAGGCGCCTCGGGCGGCACGAATATGACGTCACCGCTCAGCTCGCACGCGGGAGGGACGCCAGGAGGCGATGCGGTCTCGCTCACGCTGATTGCGCCTCGCTCACTTACGTAGACATGCGAAGGAAGGAGCGGGACATAAGCCTCCTGTCGCTCGACGTAGTCGAGGAGCGACTGGAGCACAGACGCCGCAGCCGCGTCGGTAAGCGGTCCGTCTTCGGCGATGGTGTCGAACAGCGGCTGGCCGCGTGCCTCCGAGGAGGAGGCCTGGGCGGCCACGGAGGCGGCCATGGAGGCCGGGGGAAGCAAGTGGTGGGGCGTTGGTCGAGACCTTTCTTCGTGATTTCCCACAGCTGACACGCACGCAAAAGAAAAAACCCAGGTGCGCCGAAGCTCCGTTACGCAAAAACATGCGACTTGCGACTTGCACTCTTTCGTGCCACTCGCTCGCGGGTGCGCGGGGCATGGCCTCCCGCGCGGCTCGCGCTCACTCGGCCTGCCTCCGCCTCACGGCTGGCTGAACACGCCATGGGTCCGCCTGGTGCGGCGCTGCTCGCTCGCTGCGCTGCACAAAGCTGCGAGAAGCAGGGTGGCCTCCTGAGCTTGAGCATGGCGCAGCGCGGCTGCTGGTGCTCGAGGGCGGCCGTGCAGTGGCGTGAGGGCCTGATTGGTGGTGACCTCGTGCTGCTTCAGCGTGCGCAGCATGCTCCCTCACCCGGTGCTGAGACATGCTGGTGGGCGACTGGCGCCAGCTTCTCAGTGCTGTCCCTGGCGTTGTGCAGCATGTCGCAATACTCCTGCTGCGCTGACCGGCGCGCGGGGCGCGTCGTGCCGCGAGTGGAGCGAGAGGCTCGAGGCGCGCGGCTGTCGGTCAACCCTGCGGCGCATGCACGCCGCCAAGGCTGCTCGACAGGCGACTGGCATTGTGGCGACGCGGTCGCCGTTACTCCAACTTTGCTTTGCCGATCAAAAGCGCCCGTCCTTTGCTTTTTAGCCGCCGAAATTTAGCTGGCTGTTTTTTCTTTATAGGCGTCTGCAACTTCCAAGCTGCGTATTCTTCTTGTATTATCGTCGAGTAGTGCAGGTACTCCGTGGGGGCAGTATGTATTCTTGTAAGATGTGCGTATTCTCGTCTCACTGGCTCCGAGTAGAAAAAGAAAGAAAACATGTTACCGAGTAGAGGGGGCGTTCTGCTGCTAGGGGAAACCTGGAGCGCGGAGCTAACCCTCGGAGACCCGTGTTTACTTTAAGGCCCTTGCCCTGCGAACGCGCACCCCCGGGGCTAGGGCTCTCCTGCCCGCAACCCGATCCCAATCATCCGGCCCGCTGGGTGCGCTTCTGAGCTCCCCGGCCCTGGATGTGCGGCTACTGACTGCACTCCAAGTGCTCCAAGTGCCCCCCAGCAGGAAAGCCGCGACGCCGCCTCTTTGCGCCACTCGCTCGCGGCGGCGGGAGACATGGCCGCCGATGCGGCTCGCACTCGCTCGGCGGGCCTCCGTCCCACAGCCGCTCGGGCGTGCCAGTGGTCGGCCTGGCGCTGCACTGCACAAAGGATCGCACAAGGCTGCGACAAAAAGGGGAGGCTCCTTTCGATTTCGCAGGATCGCACAAGGCAACCGGCGACTTAGTCACAAAAAACAAAACAAAAATATACGACGGACCGCTCGCAAGAGACCATTGGGTTTGTACTATTAACAACGAAGGCGCTCTCAAAAAATATATAACACAAATTCGGATCCGCAAATTCTTTAGTTCTTTTCCTTGTTCTTTTCGGTTCTTATTTTTAAAACCCCGCGGCTTCGTGTATTCTTTTTTGCATAACCGGTGCGGGAAAATTCTTTTTTTGAGGCCAAGCAAGGCGAGCACTCTCCCTCCAGCCAGCTGCCCTCCAGCCACGCTCCAGCCAGTGCGCGACTCGTGCGCGACTCGTGCCATATGCTGCCCGCCGCCCTCCACGCGGCGCCGCTCATGTTCCTCATCGGGCTTAACACCGACACCACCGTCGCGAGGCAGATCACGCTCGCGTCTCCGAATCGCGAGGCCTTCGCCTGCACTCTGGCTGCAACGATCGTCGCCATCCCGGCGGTCTCCATCCTGCTGCTGCGCGTGCTGGCTCCGCCGGCGCACGACACGCTAGGCATGCTCACGATCGCGCTGCTGCCGGGCGGCCCGATGGCCAACGTGATCGCCGTCCTCGCCGGGGCTAATACAGACCTGAATGCGTGCCTGACCGCCACCGAGCAGTGCGTGTCCGTGGTGCTCGTCTCGCTCGGCCTCCTCGTGGTCTATCCGCTGGCCTTCGACGCCAGCCAGGTCGTGCACATCCCGTACAGGCAGCTCGCCTCCTCGCTCGCCTCCACAGTCTATCCGCTCGGCCTCGGCGCGACCCACCGCCTGCGCCGCGGCCGCCGCGCGCCCGCCGCCCTTCCCCACCCGCACGGGCGCGGCTGTAGGCATGCTCGCCTCGTGGCGCATCAGCCTGCTCCCCGCCGTCCGCGCCGCGTCCGACGAGCAGAAGCGGCGGTGGAGGGGGCGGCTGCACGTGGCCGTGCTCTCCGTCTTCGCCGTCACCGTCTTGTCGAACCTCTTCGCACGGCCAGACCCGTCGAGTGCGAGCCTGCAGGGCGCGCGGTCCGTCCTCCTCCCCCGCGTCACCCTGGTCGCCTCCGCCTGCTTCGCCCTCCTCGTCCTCGCGACCGGCGCGGGGCTCGCCTGCCTGCTGCCCGGCCAGCCGGCAAAGAACCGCACCTCGATGATCCTCGAGGTGCCCCGTCTCGGAGGGAGGGAAGCCGTGCGGGCGTCTCCTCCTAGCCCTCCCCCGCTCCGTGCGCAGGTTGGCATCCGCGATATCGCCCTCGCGCTGCCGCTCCTCACCTTCGGGCTGCCCTCCCTCCCCCTCGCCGAGCAGCTGCAGGTCCTGTGCGCCGCCCTCTTCGCCGCGGCGCTCACCAATGCGGGCACTGTCGTGGTGGCCCTGGCCTACGGCGCGCCTACATGGTCGCTGGTGAGGCATTGCAAGCGAGCGAAGCCGGACGACCCGGCGGCGGAGACCCGATCCGACACCTCGGACGAGGGGAGCGGGCTCACGGCTCACATGCAGCTATAGCTCTCGTTTTTGCGGTATTCGTTGTGAAAAAGCACTAGTGTGTGTAAGTGTGTGTAAGAGCGTGAGACTATCTGCTGAGACAGTGCAGACACTGACACACCCGACTCCCGAGGTCCGGCGGGCGGCGCCCGCTCTGAGCCCTGGCTGTCAGGCTGTCAGAGGTGACCCATCGGTGCTGTCAGGTGATCTGTCAGGCTGTCAGGCACTGTCAGGTGCACCTGTCAGGTGCCTCTGTCAGACCAGCTGTCAGGTGCTGTCAGTGCTGCTCAGCGCCCGCTCTCTAGCTCCTCTCGGTCTCGCCTCTCTTCCCTCTGCACTACGCCTCTACGGCTCGGCCTCGCTATAGAGTCTAGTGTGTCTAGACGTAGACCCAAAGCGAGGGTCGCCCCCCCTTTTGCCCCACCACCTCTTGTGTGCTATGTGGAGAAGTTTACCTTACCTTACCTTACCTAGCTACAAGAGCCGGACTAATCGATTCCATTCCGAGTTCTCACACTCGCATGGCGGTTGGCGAATCCGCCTGCAGATGGCGATTGCCAAAAAAGGGGTTTGTGGAGCCTGGTGAAGGCGGCTGGCTCTGATCCGGGACCGGGACCGCCGCGCCGGTGTCGATGCGTATCGCTGCTGCAGGCGGGGCCCGGCCGCCGCCAGAGCCGTACTTCGCAGCCCCGAGTTCGAGGCTCGCAGCCGGCGCTGGCGCAACCTCGCGGCGATTCCACTCGAGCCAGGCTTCACGCGTGGGGTGGGGTGGCAAGCGGAGACACGGAAGCGCGGTGAGGCCCAGCCAGACGACCCCCGTCGCCGCGCAGATGCAGCCGGTGATGAAGTGCTCGAGCAGGACCCCGGTTGCAAAGTACTCGGTCTGACCGCCGAGTGCGAAGGTGGAACCGGACACAACCATGAAGCACCCCTTCCCGCCGTATGTGGCCAGCGCCCCCACGTATCTGATGACGAAGCGGGCGCAGAGCGGCGATGGCAGCTCCGCGGCCAGGAGCAGCAGTGCGCTCAGCATCTCCGCCGTCGCGATGGTGACGCGCGTCGCGCCAGCGGCAGGGAGGTCAGTGCCGCTCCACGGCTCCAGCTCGCCCTCGTAGCCGGATCCGTGCTCCAGCACCGCACCGTCTAAGAAGTAGGGTCTCAAGGCGACACGGATCACTGCATCCACCATCAGCGCAATCGCAACTCCAGCCGTCCAGAGCCGGAGCCCCCTCATGAAGAGGACGCGTCGTCGGCGGCTCGAGGCGGCGGCGGGCGCCGCGGCGGGCGTCGCGGCGGGCGATGGTGGCTGGCGTTGGTTCGGCTGCGCCCACGACGGCTCTCCCTCGCCGCTCATGCCGCGTTCCTCCTCCGCTAAGGACTTCAGCTGTCGTTACCCCCGCCGCGTTTCTTAATTTCGTCTGTTATTGGGGCTCCCGCGCGCGTGAGTAGTGAGTGCGTGCGTGCATCCCAACCAACATAAGTGATAGATTTGTGTGTTGTTGCTAACTCCCTAGCGCAGACCGTCTCTCGCTCGGCGGCGGCCGGCGCGCTTGAGCACGTTGCTGCCGGCCGAGCGAGTGCGCGCCAACACAGCCTCTCTCTTTTGCTTGGAGCACTTGGATAGATAGTCAGGCTCGGGCTGGACACCAGCGCGGTATGGGTGGACGCAAGACAGGAGATATCTAGCTGGGATGCGATTTTTTTTCTGCTGAGAAGGCAAGAGGCTGCAAAAGTCGGTGGAACGCGGAGAGTCCCGCCGCCGCCGTCTCCAGCTCGGAGCGCGATGTTTTACGACCCTCACGTGCTCATCAAGAAGTGCTCGGTGGGCACCTTCTACCGCATCGGTACCAAGGTCTACGAAAAGTGAGTCCGCCCCCCCGCACAGCGCGCTCGCGGCCGCCTGCGCCGGTGCCTTCCTGTTGTGCAGCACCCGCAACCGCACCGACCACCTGTAACGTCGAGCGAGTGAGCGGGGAGCGAGGGGCCGGGAGGCGAGGGCCGCCGCGTGGGTCAGCAGCATGGACGCCCCCCGCGCCGATCGCAAAAAGTCATGTCCCGACCGGCCCGCCGACCCCACACCTGCCGCTGCACGCCTGTCCTGCCGTGCCCACAGGCTCTCCAAGAAGGAGAAGGCGTGGGCGAGGGAGCACATCAACCTGATTTTCACCATCGATTACATCAAGGCACCGAGGGTGCCGCTCGCGCTCCGCCCCTCCGCCATGCTGCTCCGTGGGGTCGTTGAGCAGCACAAGATGGACACCAAGAGGCTCCTCGACAAAGTGGCAAAGCTCTGGCACCAGCTGCTCGCCGACTCCGCCTCGTCCACGAGCCGCTACGTCAACCCGACCCGCCTCGCGAACATCACACGGCCGGACGACGCGTGCGACCTCGACTTCGACCTGCCCGAGCACCTCAATGGGCGCCCGCTCGGTGACGACGTGTCCGCGGCGGACCAGGCGGACTGGCTGCTCAACGAAGGGGGCCACTTCACGGACCTCGCAGACCCCGCCGCCGATCCCGCCTTCCCCGCCGGCACGCTAGCCCTCCCCGGCAGCCGCAGCCGCGCCGGCAGTGCAGCGGGGCAGCCGCCATCGCCTATTTTCGGCGACGAACCCCCCGCCGTGCCCGCGGAGGGTCACGACGGCGCAGCACTCGGGTTCGAGTTTGAGGAGTACGACGAGGCGGACCCGACTCTCCAGCCGGCCGCCGCGACGGGGGGCGGAGCACTCGGCGGGGCGGAAGAGGAGGCGGTGGCGGGCGACCCCTCCGACGGCGGCCTTAGCGCTCACCAGGCGGCGGAGTTTTTCACGGGCGCACCGCCGCTGATCGGGCTGGCGGACCAAGGGGAGGTCGACATTGCTCAGCTCCCCGACCACCCGGGCCCGGCCGAAGCGGCGGGAGCACCGCCGGGCGACGTTGCGGAGGGCGAGGGCGGAGGCGAGGGGACCTCGAGGACCAAGCCCCGCCGGCCGATGCTCATCGACCTTCAGATTAAGCTCGAGAACAAGTCGTCGGGAGCGACGCCTGCAGCGCTTCTGTGCGACCTCGACGCGCCCGTCGAGGAGCGGCTCCGGGGCTCCCGACGCGGCTCGACGCGGTCCGCCCGCCGGCGTGCGCCACGACCGCCGCGGGGACCGGCTGCAAAGCAGGGCCTGGCCGCCGAGTGGCTGCGCCCCGACCTGCGCCACCTTCCGATTCTGCGCGCCTGCCCGGCGGTGAGGGAGCTCCGCAACCGCCGTGTCCAGGAGGCCCTCTCCCTCCTCTCCCTCTCCGAGCAGAACGCCGCGCAGGGCGAGGGCGGCGCGCGGCAGGACGCGGCTGAGGGCGTGACTCCGATGGACGTCACGCCGACCGGCCCGGGCACGCCACCGCTGCCCGGAGGCGAGGGCTACGGGGAGGAGGGGGCGGAGGCCGCCGGCGACGTGCCGATGCTGCCCTCCCCGGAGGATCCGCGCGCCAGCCAGGGCGGTGCGGCCGAGCAGGGCGCAGCCTTCGACCCGCGCCGCGTGTCGAGCCTCGTGGGCGGGCTCGCGCCGCTCGCCGGCGAGAGCGGCGCCGGCGGGGAGGAGGGCCCTGCGGCACGGCTCCCCTCCATGTCTTTCGGAGGGTCGCCGCCTCCAAGCTTCGCCGTCGACGCGCTCGGCGACGCGGGCATGCAGGACGCTGCAGAGGGCGCGCCGGAGCCCTTTGGAGATGACGAGTTTCCGTACGGGCAGGGCTTCGACCGGCTGCAGCTCGACGAGGGGGAGGACCAGCCGGAGAGCGCTAGCAGGTCCGCGGAGCTGCGCGCCGAGATCGAGAATGAGCTGCGCGCGGCTGCGGGAGGGCGCGTCATCCTCAACGCATCCCTGCTGCTCCAGCTGACAAACGTCAAGAAGCGGCGCGATGCGGCGCTTCTGCTCTTTAACGCGCTGTCGCTCGCATCGGCGTCCCGCGTCGACCTCGAGCAGGCGGATGCCTACGGCGCCATCATCCTGACCCGCGGGCCTAAGTTCGATGCGTGAGGCCGCCGTGGGCGCCTCTGTTGCCGAGAGAAGCAGCCGAGCAGCGCGGAAGTGCCTCTAGCCGGGGCCTCCGTGTGTATGAGAGCGACCAGTAGTAGCGCGGTCACGGTGCCATTAGACGGTGCCGCCGGCCGCCAGCATGCGTCGACCTCTCCGCTCCCCGACGAAGGCGCCTTGCGAGGTAGCGCAACGCCAGACGGGGGAGACGGGCGCGCGGGCTCGGGGGTGGGGGGGGGGGCGTGGCCGCGCCTTGCTAGTTGCTTCATGCTTGCGCGCGCGCCGCGTGCGCGGCCCCCCGCCGGCTCCCGCGGCGTCTCTCGTTGTGCGGGTCTACTGTCGCATGCTGACGAAAGGAGGAAGGATAACCGTGAGCCCGTCGACATTGTGTCATGACTCATGTCATAATTGCTGCTGCGGTAGAGACGCCTCGCACCTTGTGTGGCACCTCGTCGTGCGGAGGCTGTTTTGCTGACGCTCAGTTCGGGCGGTGGGGCAGCTGAAGGACGGCACCCGACCCAGCCAGACCCAGCAAACCTTTGCCTCCTAGATGCCCCCCCTCACTTCATACCGAAACTGCTGCGTCTGGTGCGACCCAACTTCGCATCCAAGCCCCTGGAGTTCGGCGTCTTTCGCGCCTTTTATCGCGCGGAGCTGGTGAGATGCCGCGTCGTCGAGAGCGAGCCGTGGCTCGCCGCACCCGTCGCCTTGACCGACTTGATCATCTGACAACGGTGTGCAGGCATGCAGCACGCAGCCCGTGGCTCAGCCGCCGGCTGTGGAGACGGTACGGGCTGTTGATCAGGCGTCATCGCAGGCTTGCAAGCTGACACCACGCGGGAAGCCCGCCTCCAGAATCTCTGGGGCGGCGGGGTTCAACTCCCCGGTGGGTCTGGGCAGCTGTACAACCTCCTCGAGCACGCCAGAAGGTGACACCCACCCGCCCCCATCCACAACTTGAGGCCAAAACCACCCCAGCTGCGAGTACTCACCCCGCCCTCCCTGCCACCTCAGGCGGCTTGTTCTCAAGCGGGCAACCAGCGACGACACGGACTGGGTGACCAGATTCGCGGGTCTCGCTGTGAGCGCCATTGGCACCGCCGCGATGGCATCACCGCCCCTCGCAGCGCCTCACCACGGACGCTCCGACGGCGCATATGACGGGGTGCGCATAGACGCCCGCGAGCCTCATCCTACCCTCGCCGCGCCACCGTCACCTCCACCCTCCACACGGACGCCCTTTGGCCGCCCTCGCCCTCACACCTCCTCGCGGCCTCCCGCCCGCCGCCGCCGACACCTTCCTCCGGCATGCCTCTCACCCTCGCCTCCAGCCCGCCCCGCCCCGTCACCCCGCCACCCCCCCCGCCGCCGCCACCCCGCCGTTTCCACTCTCGCCGCCGCTGCCGCCGCCGCCTCCCCAGCCGCCGCCACCGTTGCCGCCACCCTCGTTTCCACCGCCCTCGTCGCGCTCCACGCCACCGCCAAGATCGCCGCCCCTGCACCACGGCCGCCGCTCCCTCCGGCACCTCACACAACCCTCCAACTCTCGCTCCTGCCTATACCGCCGCCTCTCTACCCCAGACGTGCGCCCGTACTGCCGCCGTAGGTAGCCGTGTCACTGGGACCGCAAAGTCAGCCGTATCTTCGGCCAAGTCGCCCGCCGCAGCCCGCCAGAGGCTCGCGGCGGGCTGCAGAACGGTCGCTTGTGGCCGCCGTGCTGCCAGCCTCGCTCATCAGGCTGGTGGCGGGGGGATTTGGAGGTGTCACGGGTATGTCTAGGTCGCCTTAGCTGGCCACTGGGCGGCATGGGCGGCCGCGAGAGCGCGGCGCGAGCGTGCAGCGCTCGCTAGGCTGGAGACCGAGATCCGGCGCCGGGAGGTCTAGCGCCGCAGTAGCGGCCGGGTGTGGGCCGTGAGTGGCCAGGTGCTGCTCCCCCCGTACACCCCCCGCATACTGGGTGGGTAGACAGCGGTAGCTCTGCAGGACAAGGCTCTCTGTAGGCCCTTGCCGGGTGGTTATGGCTCCCGCGGGCGCTGTCGAGAAAAAATCGAGATTTTGCGAGATCGCACGTCCGGTTGGCCGTTATTTTTGTGAGTCGTGGCGCTGCCCGTGTGTTCGAAGCATGTAAGAGGATGCGTGGAGAGCAAAAAAGCGTGCACACGGGCTATTCTGGCCGACCCCAAATCTCCCCTCCCGACCCCTAATTCTAAGGGCGGCTGGGGCCTGGGCGGGCATGTCCATGTGTGTGATGTGAGCCATCTGTGCAGGCCTCTCGAGAAATCTGCTAGCAGGTAGCAAGATCACAGCTGCTGTCGTGTGTCGACGTCTCGGACGCATCGGACTCGGAGCTCCATCCTTAGAAGTGTGAAGACAGCAATGTCCAATGACGTTCTCTCTCTGGCTCTCCGGCTCTTAGCCGGCCAACAAGACCATAAGACGCGGTAGACACACGCGCGTCAAACGCGCACCAGCGCAGACTCTCCCATACGACGGCACCGCCCGATCCTCAGAGAGCCACACGCTCCCAGACCCACAAGGACCTAGCCCTGGGAATCGGCGGACGACTGCGAGGAGGCGCCCTCCTTGGCGCGGATGCCGCACGCGCGAGCATCGCTCTTGTCGAAGCCCCTCCCCTTGACAACCACCAGAACGTCCTGGTGCGCCGGCACCAGCTTCGAGGCCGCGGCCATGGTTTGCTCCGCGCGCTGCGGCGCCGTGCCGAGCGCGGTGAGGAGGACGGCCACGTTGTACGGAGTGCAGTCCACCTTTGCGAAGGCCTGCAGCGTGTCGGACAGCAGGACGTGCAGCCCGCCGCCCTTGGCGCGCGCGTTGCCCACGACGAAGCAGGCGAAGTGCTGCGGCTTTAGCAGCGAGACGGCCGCGGCGATGATGCGCTGGTACTTTGCGAGGAAGGCCTTGTACGTGGGGAGCATCGACAGGTCGAGGGGGCCGCCGTTGTACTGTTCGCGGTCATAGTAGGGCGGGCACGCGAGGATGAGGTCCGCGAGCGTCTCCGGCGGCAGCCCGCGGCTGGCGAGCACGCCCTGGTAGTGGCTCGCGATCTGCTCGCCTAAAGGGAAGGGTCGTAGAAGGTTCCGAGACGGTTCGCGAGCACGCCGCCGGTGAGCGGGGGCGGCTCTGCTCTCCGTCTCCGTGGAGCCAGGCGGGCGCGTGCTTGACCTCGCCGAGGCGGCCGCTCCGCTCGAGCTGCTGCCACTGCTCCTGGTTGGCGCGCACCTGCTTCGCGGAGATGTCGACGCCGACGTACAGGCAGCCGAGGCCCGCGCACACGATGCCTCGCACGCACCCCCCCGCGAACGGGTCGAGGACGATGACCGGCCTGCCGGCGGGGGCGAGGCGCGACCCGGCGGCGACGAGGCGCGGCCGCGGCGCGAACCAGCGGACCATGACCTCGGCGAGCACGGGGTCGAAGAGCGAGGTGCCCACCACCGAGCCGTCCGCCTTCTCGAGCACGCCGAGGCCAGAGGTGCGGCCGGCGGAGAGGAGCGTGTTCGAGCGGCCGGCGCCGCTGTCGAAGAGCGCGTTCCAGTGCTTCTTGCGCTCCTGCCACACCGGCTGCCTCGCGTCGAGCGACGAGAAGGGTGGCGCGACGAATCTGGCGCGCAGCACGCCGCCCTGCGCGGCCGAGCCATCCGGCACGCTCGGCACGCCGGCAGGGTAGGGGGAGGCGGCCTATACGGGACGTGTCCAGGACGTGTGAAGGACATGTTGTGGACGAGTGCCCTCGGCACTGTCTCGGCGGGGGAGGGCGTACGGGGGCTGCCTTGCAGGCGCCGCTCGCGATCGTCCACGGGGAGGCAAGCTGCTTGCTGCTCCACGGGGAGGCAAGCGATTCAGCCCCGCCCGCCGCCTTGCCAGGTGCCTTGCCCGTCGCCTTGGGGCCCGCCGCCTTGGGGCCCGCCGCCGAGGAGGACGGGGCGGCGGGAGCGGCGGGTCGAGAGGCGGGAGAGGGAGCGATGGCGTGCGCCTTCTCCTTCTCCGGCTCGCGGCCCTCGCCCTGCTTCTCCTCGTCGTCGTCCGACAGCGACAGGTCGATCACCTCCTCGCCCTCTCGGAAGGCTCGCAGCGATGCCTCGAGCGGCTCGTCCAGAATGCTGTCCAGCTGCTCCTCGAGGCTCGGGCCGCGTTGCGAGGCGGCAGGAGCGGCGGCCGGCGCGGCCGCCGCGTCGGCGACAGGCGCGGCAGCGGCAGGAGGTGCGGCAAGAGGTGCGGCAAGAGGTGCGGTGGCAGCGGCAGGAGGTGCGGCAGGAGGTGCGGCAAGAGGTGCGGCAAGAGGTGCGGTGTCAGAAAGGGCACTCGAGCGCGCACGCTTGGACGGCGCGCCCTGCTCTTCGTCACTGCGCCTCGCGTCATTCTGGTCCTCGAAGCGAGGCATGTGGCAGGCTGGCAGAGCCGCTCCCGCAAGCTGCGTGCGGAAAATCCCGCGCCGGAGACGAGGCGGCTCCAGCGCAACGCAGTCACCGTTCTGTAGGACCGCGCGCGCACCCTTGCCCAAGCGCTGCCACTCGCGTGGCCTCCGAGCACTCCAGACAAAGGAGAGCTGTCCGGCAAACGTGACGTCGAGGACTCCCTCGGCGGCTGGCCGGAACGTCGCGTGGCTTCTCGAGATATACTTTGGCTCCCCGACGACGTGCGCACGCCCGATCGTGCGGCCGCCGGCGTCGACGTCGAGCTTGAGCGAGTCCTGCAGCCGGTGCAGGCGCCACGGGGGCGTGGCGGCAGACGCTGACTCAGTCGCAGCCATTCAACAAAAATTGTCATTCGAGCCGCCCTTCAAGACGCTGTGGCTGCGGGATTTCTTTCTTTCGCGACGCCAGCCAAGGTTGTGAGCTGTGAAAAGGTCTGGGGCGCAGTCGCCACCGCGCGCCGCTCTCGCCGTCAGAGGAGGCCGTAGCTAGCGCTCGGGCCCACCCCCGCCCGCCGCCACGCTTCTTCGTCCGTGGTCGAAAAAGAAAAGAAAGAAACACGACGGGCAATCCAAGGGAGGGATCGTCTGTGGTCGCGCTGCGTCGGAGAAGGACAGATATTTGTTTGTTTTGTCTGCGTCGGAGAGAGAGATGTTGCTGCGTCGGTCGACCTTCACAACAATGAGTGTTCGAGTTGTTTGGTGTTGCTCAAAATCTCGACCTTCTCCGACGGATCCAAACAACAAACCCTGTCTGCACGTCTCGCGCGCGCGTGGTCCGTGGAGATGCGCTCCCCACTCCCGTCCCCCTGTGTCCCTGATCGTCCTTCCAAGATCCTGCTCGTGCAGGTGGGGACCCTGTCCTTCTCCCATCCCTCGTTTGGTTTGTCTGTTTTCTTTCTTTTCTTTTGCTTAGGGGCATTACGATGCCTCGGCATCGCAAGACACCCACGGACGCACGATGCTCGACCACGCAGCGAAGTGCGACCTCCAATCGGCTGACAGACACACATACACATACACACAACAACAACAACAACAACAACATGTACATGTCAACAAACAAACGTCTCGCGCGCGCGCGTGAACAGGGCCCCCCAAACGTACTTTAAACAACCAAAAACTGTCTCCAGGGGCGTCTCCAGGGGCCAGCAGGCAGGGGCAAAGGGAGAAGTTCAGCTCTAGAGAGGCCGGTTCTAGCGAGGCTCCCGGCTGTGACGGCGAACCATTCTGGCTTTGTTGAGGGACTACAACTGTAGCGCGTCGGCAGGATCCCCAAAACCGTATAAGCCCCCCAAATTGAATTCGACCGCCCAAAGCCGTCCCCCCCCCCGCAAACTCTAAACCACCATAAACTACACAAAACAGGGGCTCCAGGCCCCAAATGACGTGTGAGTGTTAGAGTTGTTTGGTATTGCTAAAATCTCTCTCTCGGATCCAGAGAGATTTTGAGCAATACCGGTCCATCTCGAGCTAGCTTTTCGCTGCAGCTCGAGGCCGCGCCATCCTGACGTTTGAGCCATGTTCGTGCATGCAAACAACAAATCTCTCTCTCTCTCTCTCTCTCTCTCTCTCTCTCTCTCTCTCTCTCTCTCTCTCTCTCTCTCTGCATGCATGCAGATCGCTCGCTCGCTTGAATGTGAGAGAATGTGTAGAGGCGGGATGTTGCGAAGATTTCTTTTAGAGAGGCTTGTGTTTTAAGAATTCTTTTAGAAGGCGAGGTCTTCGTTTTCTTTTGTTAGTGCCAGTGCGCACCAGCCAGAAAGAAAACACAGAAGCCAAAGGAGGGAGGAGGACGGCACGAAAGAAAGAAAGAAAACAGAGAGCCAAACGAGGGATAGGGGAGGAAGGAGGACAGGGTCCCCACCTGCACGAGCAGGATTTTGGACGGCAATAAATAAATAGACTGACATCTCCAGGGAGAGATGGGCGACGCACACGAACACACAGAGGGACAGTGCAGAAAGAAAGAAAACAGACAGGCCAAGGGAGGGATGGGAGGACGGCACGCCGCCACCACACAGTTTTAAGAGGGACAGTGCACGCCGGCACGCTGAAAAATTCTTTCGGAGTGTTAGTGCCAGTGCGCGCCAGGCCAGTTCAGGCATTCGCAAGTAAAATTCTTTCGGAGCCGGCGCGCTTCCAGCTGCGCGCTTCGCCGCCGTCGCACATGTTTGTATGGAGGACGCTCTCGCAGCGTTCGCCGCCAACCGGCTAGCCACGCTCTGGGAGTCCACGCTCGGCCTCCTCGAGCGCGGCAAGGCGGAGGACGACGCAGGAGCGGTCTCGGCAGCGACGCTGCTCTACTCCGAGGCCGTCGGCGGGCTCGAGGCCCTCCTCGAGCTCGAGACGTCTCCAACGCGCCTCGAGCTGCTCTCCGCACGCCACGCCGAGTACAGCCAGCGCCTGGCCGAGCTGCAGCGACTCGCGCTGCGGCAGGCAGCCACCTCGCAACCGCCTCCTGCTTCAGCACCGGCGACGGCCTCGCCACCGCCAGCTCGCGCTCCGTCCCCAGCCGCACCGCACGCCTCCAGCTCGCGCTCCGTCCCCAGCTCGGCGGCACAGCCGGCGGCGGGGCACACGAACGCCTCCAACCCGGCGGCGCAGACTTGGGCCGAGGCGAGCGCATCGAGTCAGCTGCACCTCATCCGTTGTGTCTCACTTTCATCTGATTTACAGGCGAGCGCTGCTCTCCGCATCGAGTCAGCTGCGGCGAAGCCGTCGGCGGCGCCACTGGCGTCGGCCAAGCTGCACACCGAGCTCGCCGTGCAGGCGGACGAGGCGGACGAGGCGGACGAGGCGCTCGAGCTGTACACGTCTGCGGCGGAGCACCTCCTCTCTGCCCTGAGGCTCGAGGAGGGAGGGCACGCGGCGGCATCGATCCGGCTCCGGCTCGGCGCAGTGATGGACCGCGCCGAGCAGCTCAAGGGCGGAGGACGCGGGCCAGCCCCCGCCGGCCCGGCGCCGGCGTCAGCGCCGGCCGCCGCCAAGCCCGCCGCCAAGCCTGCCGCCAAGCCCGCCGCCAAGGGCCACCTCTCTCTCTTGTGCCGCGGAGGAGGTCGCCAGCCCCGACCCTCACCCGCCTTCCGCCCTCTGACCCCAGGCGGCCTCTCCGACGAGGAGAAGAAGGTGCTCGCCCGCTCGTCTCGGATCGGCAAGCTCGTCCACTACCCGTGGCATGTCCAGGACACGTCCATGACATGTCCGGGACATGTCCTTAGGCAAGCTCGTCCACTACCCGTGGCATGTCCAGGACACGTCCATGACATGTCCGGGACATGTCCTTAGGCAAGCTCGTCCACTACCCGTGGCTCGGCGACCAGGCCAGAGAGCGCTTCGCCTTCGGCGCGCCGTGGTGCGACCCGGACGGCCTGCTGCTGCTCAACGGCGAGCAGCGGGCGCACTTTGGGCGGTGGGCGCGCCCGTCCGAGTTCATGCGCGGCGAGCCAAGGATGATCTACCTCGTGTCGCCGCTCACCATCACGCAGACCATCATCACCGACTGCTCCTTCGTCTCGTCCCTCGTGATCGCCGCGTCCTTCGAGCGCCGCTTCCGCACGCAGCTCGTCACGGCGATCCTCTACCCGCAGGACCGCGCAGGCGTGCCCATCTACAACCCGGCGGGCAAGTACATGGTCCGCCTCAAGTTCAACGGAGTGAGCCGCCGCATCCTCGTCGACGACAGGCTGCCGCTTCACACCTCCTCTTCACACCCCCTCTTCACACCTCCTCTTCACACCTCCTCGTCGACGACAGGCTGCCGCTCGACCGGCACGGGCGGCCGATGTGACCCCGGTCGCCTGCCGCGGGGTCCGTGAGGGGCGGCTCGTCACTCGTCGGGCCGTGAGCAGGTGCTCGCACTCGTCCCACCGAGATATGGGGAGATAGGGGGAGATTGGGGGAGATATGGGGAGATAGGGGGAGATGTGAGCAGGTGCTCGCACTCGTCCCACCGAGATAGGGGGAGATTGGGGGAGATATGGGGAGATAGGGGGAGATGTGAGCAGGTGCTCGCACTCGTCCCACCGAGATAGGGGGAGATTGGGGGAGATATGGGGAGATGGGGGGAGATGTGAGCAGGTGCTCGCACTCGTCCCACGCCGAGGAGCTCTGGGTGTCAATCCTCGAGAAGGCGTACATGAAGGTCAACGGAGGGTACGACTTCCCCGGCTCGAACTCGGGCATCGACATGCACGCCCTCACCGGCTGGGTGCCCGAGCAGCTGCGGACGGACAGCGGCGACTTCAAGCGCGACCGGCTGTGGCAGCGCATGACGTCGGCGTCGAAGTTCGGCGACTGCCTCATCACCGTCGCGACCGGGTCGAGGGGGGAGTCGGCCTGTTCGTGATACCGGTATGAGTTGTCAACTATTCACTCCTCATGTACAGGCCGATGGAGGAGTCGGCCGCCGACGCAAACGGCCTCGTGCCGACGCGGCGCACGCAGAGGGCCTTGCGTGAGCCTGGAGCCTTTGCCGATAGGCGCTCGGCCTCGTGCCGACGCACGCGTACGCGGTGCTGCAGGTGCGCGCCGCGTGCGGCGTGCAGCTGCTGCAGCTCAAGAACCCGTGGGCGCGCAAGCGGTGGCGCGGCGCCTTCTCAGTCTTCGACCGACAGCGGTGGACGCCGGAGCTGCGCAAGGCGTTCGGCTTCGACCAGCAGGCGTCGCTGCAGCAGGACAACGGCATCTTTTGGATCGACTACGACTCGCTGCTCCGCCACTTCGAGGGCGTCTTCCTCAACTGGAACCCGCAGCTCTTCAAGCACCACACCGTGACGCACGGGCAGTGGCCGCCCCGCGCCGCCTTCCGCGACGACGCCGTCGACCTCGGCACCAACCCGCAGTACCAGCTCACAGTCAACGTGCCGCCCGCCGGCGCGGCGACGGCGGTCTGGGTCCTCCTCACCCGCCACTCCTCGCGGCCGTACAACCTCGCCATGGCGGAGGGGCGGGACGCCTCTCGCGACGCCTTTCTGACCGTGCACGTCTTCCGCGGCGGCGCACGCGCCCACTACCTCGAGCGCTGCTGGATGCAGGGAGTGTACTCCAACCGGCCGCACGCGCCCTGTCCGGCTCGACTTGCCGACGGACACGTCCGCGACGTGTCCCGGACATGCCCCACAGGCCGCACACGCTCGTCAAGTTCGACTTGCCCGCCGCGTCCGCGCCGCAGCAGCTCACCCTCGCCCTCGCCCAGTACAAGCCGACCGACTCGCAGGCCGGCCGCTCGCCGCGAGTGACTAGTGAATCGAACCCTCGACTCGAGAGGAATGCCCCGCAGGTCGACTTCTCGCTCGACGTCTACGCGCAGGCGCCCTTCACCCTCCGCCCGATCGCACCGCCCGAGCCGACCGCGTCGCGCCTCACCGGCGCGTGGAGCGGCCGCACCGCCGGCGGCTCCTCGAACCACGACTCGTACGTCGACAACCCCCGCTTCCTGCTCGAGCTCCCCTTCGCCGCCAGCCCGGTCCTCGAGCTCGCCGCCGTCGGGCTGCGCGGCGGAGGCGCAGACTTGGCTGACCCGGCCGCAGCTCGGACGCGTCCGTGACGCGACCGTGACGGAAGCCCCACGCCTCGTCCCGCAGGCTCGAAGCCGGAGGACGTGCAGCTCGGGCTCGCTCTCAGCCCCGAGGCGCCGACGGAGCAGCCGGCCGGCGCCGGCGCCGCGCGAGGCACACCGCACCGGGACCCTCCTCGAAACCTTCTCTCGGAGCCTTCCTGCAGGCGACGCGCGCAAGTGGCCGCTCCGCTCGGGCGACTACCGACCTGGCGGCTGTCGGCTGGCGGCGGCCTCCCTCCCTGCGGGCCGCTGGCTCGTCGTGCCGTCCACCTTCACGCCGGGCACCGAGTGCGGCTTCGAGCTGCGCGCCTCGGCGGGCCGGCTGGCGGCGCTGCCCCACGAGGCGCACGGGCTGCAGCGGCAGGCGGTCCAGGGGGCGTGGGACCGGCAGAGCGCCGCCGGCTCTCCGAACCACGGCGCCTTTTGGAAGAACCCGCAGCTGCAGCTCGTCCTCTCGCGCCCCGCCGAGCTGCTGCTGCGCCTGCGCGCGCCCGGCACGAGAGAGGGCCGCTCGGCGGCGCCGCCCTCCCTGTGCGTCGCTCTCTTTGACGGCGGCGAGCAGCGGACAGAGGCCACGGGCCACGGCCTCTCCCGCGCGCGCGCCGTGTCCGAGGGGGGGCTGTACGCCTACCCAGCGGGGGGCGCGTGCTTGCCGCGCACGCCACTCCCGGCGGGCATGTATGCGGTGCTGCTCTCGACGTTTGACCCGTACGTGGGGCCGTGGGAGCTTGTTATGTACGCCACCGAGGGGACGCTGAGGGTGGCCTCCTTCCGCTGAGAGAGCCTGAGTGTGCGTGTGTGATCTGTGATGTTGTGGCTTGTGTGCACCCGCGGAGACTTGTTTTTTTTCGAGTAAGACACGGACATATTTCGATCACCCAAACCCGCTTGCGTGCGCGTCTACCTCAGCAGCTTCAACAGCTCCGGCATGTCCCGCGAATACGAAGCAAAGTACAGTTGCGCCGCCTTGCCGTCCCTTTTGCTCGCTCCAAGAGCCACGCCGTCGAGGTCCAGGAAGACCTTCTTCGCAGCCTTTTTCGACACATCGTCGTTCGTGAGAAATCCGACGGCCTCACGTAGGTCTCGGCTGCCGCCCAGCAGCTGCGATATCGCAGTCCAGCGCGACGAGGCGATGAGCTCGCCGAGTCCGCTGAGCTTCTCAGCGGCCGCCCGCAGCTTTTCGAGCGCCGCACGCTGGTCAGGCGTCGAGTACAGCTTCGGCTCGCTGCTCTCGTACACCATGCATATCCCCGAGCCAGGCTGGGCGAAGAGGCACGCATTGGAGGCATCGCCAGCCGCCATCGACGACTTGGAGCCGTCCATATTTGCGAAGGTGCCAGCCTTTGCAGCGGCGGGCAGCGGCGGCAGCAGCGTCGCGATCCCTGCCGACGCCGCAAGGTCGATCGCGGCACGACGAGGCAGGAGAGCTGGCGAACACGTCAGAAGCAGCATATGTGTACACACACACACACACAGGGAAACGCCTGGTGGCTTTGCTCGGGAATATACACGCCGCCCCGGGCCACAAAAAAGAAAACCCTGCGCGCAAAGGCGGCATGCCGTCCTCCCATCCCTCCCTTGGCGTGTCTGTTTTCTTTCTTTCTTTGCTATAAAGGACGGAGAAAGAAAGTCAGCTGCCTCATGTTCCGTGCCCGTATCGTACGTTCGCCGTTCATCGCCGACATTGTCGCGCCTGCTCTCCCTCGAGGATGAAGACGGCCACCATGAAACTGATGACCGTCGACGATGCGCTCGAGGTTGTCGCGGCGGCCCTCCGACCCACGCTCACCACCACCGCGCTCCACCTCCCAATCCACCGCGCTCCACCTCCCCATCAGGAGCTCGGCGTGGGCTGCTTCACCGTGCAGTTGATAATGGTGTGTGGCCTTGGTTGGCTCGCCGACACCGCGTGGATCACTGCAGTCATCTCGGCGACCGTGCCCGTCCAGTACGAGTTCCCGGGCCTGTGGGAGCTGGGGTCCATCAGCATCAACCCGGCAGACTACCTGCTGCCCCTGCTCTTTGCCTGCCAGGGGGTGGGAGGCGTCATCTTCGGCCCGGTCGCCGACTCTTTCGGCCGCCGCCTCGCCTTCATGCTCACCCTGCTAGTCTCCGGCTCCGGCGGCGTCATCGGGGCTTGCGCGCCCAACATGCTGATCCTCGTGCTTGGCGTCGCCGTCGCGGGCGTTGGCGTGGGTGGCAACATGCCTGTCGATGGCGCCCTCGCGGTCGAGCTGTGCCCCCGCAGCGCGAGAGGCAGACTGATGACGCTGCTCACCATCTTTTGGAGCATCGGCGGCGTGGTTATGTACCTGGTCGCGTGGGCCGCCATTCCAAACAACACCTGCGACCCTCCCGATCAATCCCCATCAACCAAGTTGGGGGTCCAGTGGGCACCTTTGGTGGAGTTTTGCGACCCGGCGGACAACCGGGGGTGGCGCTACTGCCTCGGCAACCGCGCTTCTCCGGTGCTTTCGCCTCACGAGCCATTCTGACTCAACGCACCCCGCTGGGCGCAGGTGCCATCTCGCTCATCTGCCTCGCCTCGATGGGATCGCGGGTCGGGTGGCCAGAGTCTCCTGCGTGGCTAATGGCGCAGGGGCGCACGGAAGATGTCATGGCCGTGCTGCAGCAGATCGGCAAGATGAACGGCACGTCGCTGCCGCCCGATTTCATCCTCATCAGCAGCACCGCTGCGCCGGAGCCATCGAACTCCCCGGCCTCTCCACCGCTCACTCCGGTGTCGAAGCGAGCGACCCGGGTGGGCCCCACCTCTACTGCGTGGGACTATGACGCCGTTGCCCCGCCGGCTGACCGCTGGGCCTTCCTCCAGCTGCCTTGGATGAAGACTACCGCGGTGCTACTTGCATTTCTCTGGTTCCTCAGCAACTTTGGATACGGTGTGGCCGCGCTGCGAATCGACCTCGCCCCGCCACCCCTCACCGTCCCCATCCCGCCGCCAGGCATCTTCAACTCGATGAATCTGGAGCTTGTCGCCGCCAAGCTGGGCGGGGTACCTACGTCAGACAACACATATTTGCAGGCCATCTATATGTCTGCCGCTGCGCCCGTTGGCGCCCTCGCGGGCGCGTTCATCGTCGACTCTCCCCTCGGAAGAAAGTGGACGCTGGTCGTGGGCATCCTGACGATGGCCGCGTCGATGATCGGATTCCTGCGCACAAGCACGGAGAACGGCGTCGTGATGACGGGCGCGTTGACGCAGGCCACCTCGCAGATCATGTACGCCGCCCTCTACCTCTACACGCCGGAGGTGTTTCCGACCGCTGTGCGCGGGTGCGCAGCCCACCGCCCCGCGAGCGGCCGCCGGGAGCGGGGGCAGACGGGGCGTACACGACGCGGACCCCCTTCCCCGATGTGTCGCGCAGCACCTGCGTCTCGACGCTGTCGCTCCTCTCGCGCATCGCCGGCATCATCGCGCCAATCGTCGGGCACACCCTCTTCGGCAGCCAGAGGAGAGCGTGCCCCCATGGCCGTTGACGAGTGTTGACAGAGACCTCCCCCCCCTCCCCTCAGACAAGGGCGTGTCCGCCAACGGCGTCGTATTTGTCGGGCTCAGCTGCATCGGCACAATGGCGCCTCGCGCCACGCGCTCGCCCCGCCGATTCTCGCGCACAATCCCAATGGAGGACCCGCCATCTCTATCTGCATAGGCCCTCTTTGGCGCGCTCCTGCCGCTCGAGACGCGGAATCGAGACATCGCATGAGGGCCCGAGATGGGATTGGGAAGGTATTGGCTATTGCTGCAAGAGTGGAGCCGGGACGCGGGAGGGCCTTGCTGCCGGGATCGGCGGCCGTACTCTCTGTCTCGGCCCTACCCACACTCACCTGCTGCATGCGGAAAGGCGAAACGGCCAGGAACGGCGCGGAGGCCGGAGCCTGTCGGACCGCTGGAGGACGCCCGCCTGACGCGCGAGAGCTACAGTCTAAGTACGCCGTGTACTCAGTACTGCTGCGACGTCGCATGTACATCTACTTTACACATGCAATATATTCTCGATAAAAAGGCATCGCTGGATTTTCTACGCTACACGTGGGGCGCAGCGTCGCATGAGGAGCCAACTTCAGAGAACAGGTGAGCCCACAGTGCCGGTACTGGTTGGGTAGTAGTCTAAGTTCTGAGCCTCGAGGCTGAACGGGTCTAAGTGTGGCTAGCCACGCTGGAGTGCTTGCGCGGTCTAAGATCAGCGGGAGCCTCTTACATCGGCTAAGTCGGCCGTGGCACGGCCTGGGGCCAGGAGGCTCCTCCACCGTGATCAACGATACGGCGCAGTCCCCAAATTTTCTTCGCCTGCGGCGGGCTATCGATCCTCTTCATGCTTAGCAATCGCCGCCTCAGCATCCTCCTCTTCCGACTTTCGTTGCTGCTCCTTCATTCTTGAGCGACGTCTAGCCAAACAGTTCTCACATGACACGAAGCTCCTCAAGCTTAATCAAACGTGTGACGGTGAAGCCTGTGTGTGCTGGTCCTCTTTGAACGATCCGCGCGTGAGGTAGCATAGGGCCTTGTTGGCAGCAGCCAGCCTGTTGCTCTGCTTCGTTGCGATGAGCTGATTGGGATCGCAGAAGTGCATGCCAAGCACCGCCACGATCTTGAAGCAGAACACATCGCAACCGCATCGTCCGCACTGCCATCGGCATGCCGCGCCCGCCGCTGGCACGCATAGCGGCAGCACATGGTACGATGCGCGTACTTGAGCAGGCGTTGCGCGCCGTGAGTAGCGCACTGGCCCTGGGAGAAGGCGATATGGCGTCGTGCGCGGCATACGTTGGTCGGACGCGTCCAGGTATTTCGGATAAACCTGGAGGCTTTTCAGGTATACCCGGGTTTTGCCCGGAGTTGGCCTTATGTCGTCTAAGTTCATGGCCCCCGACCATACAGCGTCTAAGTCTGAGCCCGGCTCGGTGCGGGGGCTAAGTTGAGCGCTCGCTCGCTGCAGAGGCTAAGTGTAGAGCGACCCTCTAGCCCTACTACCCAACCATTGTGCCGGTGTGCTCAGTGGACAGTGCTGCGAGAGTCCCTGCAAAGAGAGCTCTTATTTTACCCGCCCCTGTACGCGCTCAGTAGAAATCCCGGTCGTAGTTGTCGCGTTGCATCGGTCGCTCGGCGCCTTGCACCGGGGCGCCATTCGGGCCCGTCACGTTGACAGCTGCCTGCGCAGAGAAGGGAAGGAGACGGTGCTTACACACCGCTCGCGGCACCTTCCTGGAGGGACAAACGAAGGGGGAGCGCCTGCTTCCCATTCGGCTGGAGCTCGATATCGAACTCTACCGGCTCGTTGTCGGCCAGCGAGCGGTAGCCGTCGGCAACAATGCCGGTGTGTGGCTGCTGGCTGGCCGCCGATCACGGTCGGAGCAGGTTCTTGCACCAATGATGGTCAACACGATCGCGAAGAGAAGAGAGGGGTGGTAAGAGGTTACGTATGTACGTATGAAGGTGAAGAAGCTGATTCACTTGTGGTATTCGCCCGTACTCGCATGAACCCGAACCCGCCAAACTCGTGGCAGGCTCGGCTGGTTCTCCCTTGCATTGGGCGCGCGTGTGACGCGCTGGGTCGTATGCCGCTTTTACGCATCTCGTTCTTCGACCCCCGGATTCTAGCGGTTGTCTGCGCTCGTCGATTAAAGAGGGCGCCCTGTTTAATGTTTCTCAGCTTCCCGCCGTCTTGCACAGATGAGCACGCCGCGGCGCGGCGATAGCGGCAACTACTGGAGCAACGCCCTCTGCCTCTCCCTGGACGGATTTCCCGGCGTCGAAATCAGCGACATCCGCGCGGCCGAAGCGCAGGGGCCTGCCACCATCTTCCGCTTGTTTCGTGAGAAGATGAAGCAGCATGCGCGTCTAGCCTTACAGCATCACCATATCAGGTGCTCCAGGACTGGCCATTTAATCTGCTAGCTTATATGGTGTAGGGCATGCACACAGGAGTGCCGTCCCAGCACTTCACCGCGTCGCTTATGGGCGCTGGACTCCTGCTCGTGCCTGCAAATAGCAGTGTCATCGAGCTGCCGATCGGCGATGCGGTCGACGTATGTGTTCTGGACGGCGGCGGCTCGGGCGGCGGCGGATACGGGGGCAACCGCTAGAGCCGCGGCAGGAGGGGGGGCG